CACTGCAAAGGCCCATGTCTGAGCTGTTAGGTGCCCTGACCTTGTCCACATAAAGATGTGATTTATGAAGTGCAGGGCACAGCAGCAGGGCTTCTGTCTTCTCCTGGAGAACCAAATTACTGAGGTGGAGATTAACATGCTTTCAGTCGGGCCCATTTCCAGACCAAGGGAAATTTTTTATTTACATTTTTTTTTTACCTTTAATTTCCTCTTTTCTTTTCTTTTTTTTTTTAACAGTCTCCCCCCACCACCCCTGCCCCAGATTAAAAAAAAAAAAAGCAAAGTCCATCAAGAAAGACCGCACATATCTCTCCTGAGTAGTGGTGACGTGGGTTGATGACTATAGACACTCGGAGCCTTTTTTTGTTTGTAAACTCTTATTGTGCTGGACCATTTTGCCGGGTCTACCTACCCAGCGTCACAGAATCTACCTTCAAATTTAGGAACCAAGTTTGTGAAATACTCCCCTGATTAAAACATATAAATTAAAATTAAATATAATATTACCTTTGATTCCATAACTTTCTGATCTAGTTTCTCTTGCCTAAACGTTATGCTTCAGTATAAGGCTTATTCTTTAAGTAAAAAGACTTGGGAGAAGACTTAGTCAAGAATGGGAGGGAAAGAACGTGGAGAAACAAATTGGTGTTTCTATATTAGAAGAAATATTTATATGTGATTCAGTGGGAATTCTCTTGAGTCCTAAAGACATAGTTATATATTTTTTTCTTATCACAGGTCAGGTAAGATTTTACAAAATCCTATTCTGATATGGAAAAGGAAGCATTGATTTTCTTTTTAAACATACATCAATATCTGTACATGAAGCTAATTTAATTAGCAGGCATTTATTGTTCAGCCAGATGTCAATTTCTCACATTATTTTACGTTTCTTGACATGAACTGTATGAAACAGGATTTAACAGGATCTCCATGAATGAAACGGCACTTGAGAAATGTAAAAATGCACTTGTATGTTCTTGAAAAGCTGCAAAAAAAAGAAAGAAAAAAAGAAAAACTGTTAAAAATGTCAGGCTTGGAGTTCAGTCAGTGAATGTTTAGCCACCTCAAGAAACCCAAAGCTGCAGAATTAAGGGAACTCTACTTAGGTTGAGGTTATAAAGTGCTTTCCTCTATAAACTAAAAACATAATGTCAGGGTGAATGGGAACATACTTTATTAACTTTATGGTATTGAAAACTGCCAGCAAGTTGTCTTGTTTTTAAATATTGTCCTCTGCAGAGTGTTACAGGGCTGTTTGTCCACAGGAAGCCTATTAAAAGTGGACAGTGCAGTCATTTCATCTGGCTTTGGCTGGACTGCTTTTCTTTCCTTTAATGATGTGCTGGAATGTACCATGCCCATAGGGTCTCCATTAGCAGAACTTTTACTTCTGGGACAACCATGAAGTTTAAGGCTTAAAAGAGGCATCAGCTTACAGTCTTGTGGGAATCACTTGAATACTGGAACACTAACTTCTTACTGCTTTAACTAATATATTGACTTATTTTAAATAAACAGTTACACAATGAAGGCAGAGCCAGTGGCCTTATTGGAAATCTTTGAGCCTTTTAAAGATTCTGCAATCAACCCAGATGGGGGAGGAAGGAAGGGGCCTGAGGAGGGTTTATGCCCTTTTCAAACCAGGAAGAAAACACATTAACCTCTCCCACCCTAGTCTTGCCATCTGCCAAAGGGGGTTCTTTACAGCTCCCAGAAAAATCTATCAACTTATACTCAAACCTCATATTTTCCAATTCTTTTTTTTCCCTGGTAAACAACAATTAACAGGACAGCGCAGAAAAAACAATCATTCCTTCTGGAAAAATGTTTTTAAAATACGGTTCTCTTTTTAATCATTGCTGATGAATCACTCTATTTTCTGCCTTCCTCAAAGCTATACGTTTTTAGTAGTATGTGCTCCCATTCCATCCCCTTAATATTTAGATCATCTGTCCTGATACATGTTTGCAAATTAAAGCTGGTTTGAGATTATAGTAAAACCATTATTTTTAATAGCCCATTTCAAGAGCAGTGCTAAACACTGCAGAACGCGCATGTTACTGATTACTGCTGAGCAGACAGCGGCTTTTGCAGATTAATTTGTAACTGGGAACTACTGTAAACAGATTTCACCAGAAATCCCAAGGAATAAAGGGAATTGGTGGTGGTATTTGGCTCCTTGTCTTTATTATTTTAGAAATCTCCTGATGGAAAGCAAGTTAACCAGAGAGAAAAACAAGCCCCTTGCAAAAACCTTTCCTCCAGCCCTGTCTCCTCTTGTTTGCCTTCTAATCAGGGTAGGTTGGTCAGGGTCTTCTCCTAAAGGGCGAGTATTTAAATATCAAGAGGTGCTTCTACAAGAAACAAGGCCCATCTAGCTACTCTGGGATTTCAGGCCCTTTTTTTTTTTTAAACCGGTTTGTGTCGTTAAGAAAAAGTGTGTTGATTCTGCCTTTACATGACATTACTATATAATGAAAGGGGAGAGGGGTTTGGGATGGGAGAGAGGGTGGGCTGCGCAGAGAGAGAGAGAGAGAGAGAGAGAGAGAGAGAAACTGTGTTTGCTGGGTCCTTCTGATGATTTCCTTTAGTCTTCCTCACAAATTATTCACTAGAGAACAAGACTGATGATGATGATATTAACAAAATAATATGAATGAGGCTAACTCTTCCATTTCTCTAGATAAATCTCCCAAGGTCTCAGAAAGAAAGTGTTAAATCTTTCGGCTCTATTTTAGGAAGAGAATTTCATACGTAGAAATAGTCTTAGTTCAGGCCAGTCAGTGTCTGCGGGTCTGGACTGCAGGGTGCACTCGTCCCTGCTTGAGGCTCAGGAATGCTCGGGACCACGGGCAAGGCGAAGGGCAAAACACGGCTGGCCGCGCCCGGCAAGCGGCTGCGGGTTCACCTGGGTGGCTGGAGCCGCTGGCGCTGCGCCTTAATTCGGGGTGCATCGCCATCTACCGGCCTCCTGCCGCACCTGCAAGTATCCGGACCTTAAAAGTCGCCCCGCCCCGCCAACCCAATATAAAGAAAAAAACTCAGAGGCCCTTTCCACGAAATCCTAATTTAGCTTGGACCTGCCACAATTCCACACAACCTTTTGTTTTACCCACCGATGTTTCCTCCTTTTCAGAACAGCTTTATAAAGGGCAAGGAGGTGGGGGCCGCGGGGCTGGGAGGAGGATTGGGGCGCTGAGCTCTCAGACCCCCTGATCAGGCCGCACTGTCTGAAGCAATCGGTTCCCCAGATTACTTGTATTTAATACACAATGCATCATAAAACAAATCCCTCATCCTGACAGGAAGAAAATAGAACAGCTCATAGCTCGAGCCGGTCCAATTTATGGCTAAATTAAAAAAAAAGGGGCGGGGGGGGGGGCTCCGACAATGGGCAAGTTGAGGAAGGGCAGGAAATCAATGGCAGCAAACCGGGAGCTCTTAAAGGTTCTCAAGCGCCGAACACTGGGAATATCTGACCGGGTTTCAGGTTATTTACAAAGGATTTTTCCTGTCCTACCTACCACTGCTGTGCGATTTTCCCCTCAAACAATGGCCATTATCTGAAATAACAGTTCAATGTCACAGATAACAGGCCACCAAAACGAATTAGTCACCACCTCTTGTCATTTTCTCTGCCCCACATCCCTCTCTTTTGTTACTATTTTTGTTTTTCAAATCAGCATTTTGGGGAAATATAGACCTACTAGATTAACACGTCTATTTGCACTTGGAGAAAACAAAAAGGGGACCTGTCCCCCTTTGCAGATAAAGTTTAACATAAGCGCGCTCCCCTCTCCCTCCGCCCCTCCCCCTCAAGTGTCCCTTGACTCGCTTACTTTGCTTAACTTTCCATTGTTGAGCTAAGAAGTTGGATTTTGTCCATTTGTTTTTATGAATGGAGATTTGTGATAAAAAGCGTTTATTTCCATTTAACCGACGGGTTTTATTAAAATTTCCAAGGTTGGCTAAAGTAAATACACAGACCCTTTTATTTTGCCACGCGTTTCCTATATTCTTTCTTCCAATGTAGTTTCTGAAATGTGTCAATAAAAATAGACCATGTATGTTAGAAAGTTATTAATCACCTTATAGTACTGATCACCCAAAGCAGCATTTATAATGTTAAAAGTTTAAAGATAATCTGAGTTGTCAAACTGCTTAATTTCACTTTTGGGCGATCATGGTGCTTAATTAGTGTATTAAAGAATATGGCAAAAATTCACCAGACAATCGTCAACCTCTCTGAATCCATAATACGCTATTTGGGCAGGTTATATGCTAATAATGTTTCAGATTTTTAAATTTCTCCTAAGAAAAATATGATTTGGAAAAAGTAGCATGCTCATCTGCTGATTAACTATAATAATGGAGGGAATAAATTAGAGTACGGATTTCAATAATAAAAAATGATGCTTAGAAAACTGGAAATGTACATATCAACTTTTCACTCTTAAGTTGCTGTTTTCTGAGAATTTCTAAACTAATTATGTTTAGCATGAGCCAGCGTCCCTTTACCTTAAACCTCATCCTTGCCCTCCAGCGCCCCACCCCCAGCCTCGGTGCACACACCCTCACACCCCCGAAAGCACTTCTCCACCCCATTACTCCCATCCCCCATCCCCAATACACGCGCGCGCGCGCGCGCGCGCACACACACACACACACACACACGCACGCGCTCTCTCTCACACACACACACACATACACACACACACACACACACACACACACACTTACACTTGTGCTTTCAGGACATTGAAACAGAGGATATTTCCCTGGGGAAAGAAATCCTGGCTGGCGAGATCTCCCCATTGGTTGTTTACCCAGAGAAATCTACATGTTTAAGGGGAATGGTGCATCCATAATCAGTCTGTCCCTATAGGACTTAGGTCTTGGCGACCTTTTTGTGACCTCTCCCGCCAGAGGAGGCTGCTGTCACTTTAAAAATTTACTGAGAGGAGCCCGTCTGGCTTCCGATCACTCTGGGCGGCGGGAGATAGCTCCCTTTCTCCCTCGCCCCGGGTTCTTTCTGGATGGCCGAGCAGATCCTCTTTAAAGAGACAGTTCATGAAACAGAAACCCGGCGGCTGAGCTTGGAGTTGCGAAAGGGGACGATCCCGTGAGGATCTAAGACCGGGGAAGGCGCTGCGGAGGATCTGAAAGGGGGCTAGAGCTCCCCTCGCCTCTCCAGGCCCCCCACCTTTTCAAACTCTCCTCCTCCTGCCTGTTTTTGCCCCCTTTGAAACTGGGAGAGAGAAGTGAAAGAAGTTTTAGTGGGTTTCAGATAACTTTCATTACACATCGGGCTGATAAGAGCAAGAGAAAGTGAGAAAAGAGGGAGGTGATGTGAACCAGAAGGAATAGTTCCGAGCTCATTTAGAAGGGGGAAAAAAAACAAAACACACCAAACCCGGGTCACCCAGCCGAGAGGAGGCTGCTTTCCTGGTCTTAAAAATACACTGTTGGCGGACAATAAATCTGAAACGCGTGGTCCTGGCGAGCAGATCCTAGAGACGGACAAAGTTATCAGAAACCCGTTCGGAAATCGAGACTCGAGGCTTTTTTTTTTTTTTTTAACATCTCGAAATGTGGCTCGGGATCGTTTGAAAGGATTTTCGTGCAGGAAAACTGGGGGCTGCTGATTATTTTATTTTGTTTGTTTTAACTCTTCTGTGATTGCGTTTTATTGCTGAGTTGAGGCCATAGAAATCTTAAGGTAAGAGAACTCATTTATTTAAAAAAAGAAACTCTTGGCGATGTGCATAGTTTGTAACTTCGGACAGTTTCCTGCCTTGGCACCCCTTCTCCCGGTGCCCCCCCCCCGCCCCTCCCCCCAGCCTCCTTTTCCTACTTGCCCTCTCAGTCTCGCGGAGCCCGGCGGCTTATCTACGTTGCCGGGACTGGCGATTTCCTTGTTCCTCCTGTGGAACGGTGCGGTCTGGACGCGTCTCCGGGGTGGGTCGTCCGGCCTTCGGTGGGTCTCTCTGCCGGCTGTCGGCCTCTTTTCCTCGCGCTCTTCTCCTACTTCCCCTCCCTCTGTGTGTCTGTCTGTCGGTATCAGGGACGCAGAAGGTGGGGCTGCCAAAATCTGAATTCCTGGCACCCGCCACGCGACTTTGGAGCCGCTTTCGGCCGAGTTCCACCTTGCCAAGTAACAGCTTTGCTGTCCAACATCGTGTGCTGCTTCGCGAGAAAGTCACATTCGGACTCTTTGGCTGGATTGTGGAGATTTCCACCGCCCCCCCCCCCTTTTGCTGTTGGTTTTTTGAAAGGGGCTTTCTCTCTAAAGTCCACCTAAAGGGAATTCTTTTTTTTTTTTTTTAAGCTATCTTTGAAACTTGAAAACTTTTAAAAACACAGGAGTGTGTTAGATGAAATGACGGAAGATGTGTTGTTACTGTATTTTATTCGGGATTTCCAAGACGATTAAGACATTAGGGAGACAAACGCAGTTCTGCTAGCAAATCAAAAGTGAATAATTCACTCAGTGGGGAAACGTTTCTGGAGAAAGTTAAGCTTTTTTCTTGGGGCTAGAATATTGAGAGTAAGAAATGTTGGTGAAATATTTGAATAATCATGTAACATATATATGAAAAGACATTCTTTGGAAATGAACCTGTTTTTAAATTAATTTCACTGTTGACAGTGGCAATGGCAATAATGTTAACACGGAATAAAATTACACCTAGAGTTTTTATGTGCAGCATATGCAACACTTAACTCCCTGCCCCCGCAAAAAGGGAACGCTGGAAAGCTAAGGGGGTAGATGATTCTTGACTTTGAAATTAACAAGTTTTCCACGTCTTTCTGCAAATATGAAATGGAACTGGTGTTGCATTTCATTGACTTCACCCTATTTCCTTCATTAAATATTTCTCTAGTGTGTCAGTAAAACTGCCTTTTTTTTTCTAGTCAAGGAAACAAACAACAAAAGATCTACCAAAAACCAAACAAACCAGAAAACAAACAAAACAACAATCCCAACTTTTTACTATTGCTATTGTTATTTATGCTCATTCTAGACATCTGAGGAGGGGGCAATCTCAAATTGCCATTCCATTAGTGTTACTCAGCAATGAGAGTTAAAGAAAATAACTTAAAGTTTGTAATGTCACATATAAGAAAAATTTAAAAATCTGTCCTCTTTAGAGAGAGTGTTTAATGTAGACTTTTTGTTGTTAATGTGAAGAAGTGTCCTTAGAAAAGACTTGATGTGTGTGTGTGTGTGTGTGTGTGTGTGTGTGTGTGTGTGTGTGTGTAGCAATTATCATTCCCTATCTTCTGTTCTGATTTTTCTTTTTAAATTGTGGAACTACTTATTGCCCTTAATTGCCTCATGGCCAAAGGCTTATTCATAGTGCCTCTTGACTAGAGCCCTCAGAGCACTGGGCTTCTTCTTGAAGTTTGTGGTGAGTTAATGAGTTGTATCTGCAGCTGGGTGATTACCTGAATTCTATGCAATTTGGTCTGTACACTCAAGAATTTATTTTAACTTTTATACAAGTATAGATACAGCAGAGTTCTTTGGGGCTTATTTAATTCATTAATTTTTGTTCGAGACTGTATTGTTTAGTCTTTGATAGGAAACTTCCTCAAGTTTGCATTAACTGATTGACGTTAACACTACCAGCCTTTCTGGTTATTCACCATCAGGTCAACAACTCTGCAGCTTTTGATACTGATGTTTGAAAAATTATTGCTACTAGTGAATCAGAATAGTTTTAAGTAGGCAAAACTTTAAAAAATGGACTTTTCCCAATTCCACTTTTTTGTTTAATAGATGTCCTAGGTAATGATTAATATTTAGGATAGGCTGAATGTAAAATCTAATGAAAAATAACAATACACAATCATATGTAATGATGGCAATTTACTGTAATATTCTTAGATATTTTTTTACTGGTTCACAAGCCAGTTTTGTTATTTTGTTTACTAAACGTAAAATTGAAATATGCATTGGCATGTGTTAACTAAAACATTAGGTTGCCATATTTTGCATGAGTGTTTACCAATCATTTGTTTTCGTTTGCTTTTCTTTAGTTTGGTCAGAAGCATCTGTGAGACAAATCTTATTATCTTCAATTAAGGGTGTGATTTTATGGTAGTGAAATGCAAACTCAAAGTGAATTTAATATTTAGATTAAAGTTTTTTAATTGAATTAATTGAAAGTGCAAAATGTGGAAGTATACATTTCCATGAGGACACTATCTGAACGTAAAATATTGACTATTTAGTTTAGAAATATTATGTTAATATATGTTATTGAATGTGATTTTAATCACAGGATA